TTGTTCGTGCACCTGTAATCAGCTACCTGGAGCTGTGAGTTGGTGGACGCGCTTGAGGGTGGGGGGAGTACTGCTGTGTGCGGCATTGTTCGATCGGGCGTCCTGCCACTAAAGCTCCGCATCGATAATGGTTGTCTCGGGCGACAAGCCAGGATAACCCAGGTTGTCTTAAGGAGGAGTGAATCGGGTCAGGGCGGAAACGCAGCAGCAAAGCTCCCGTGTCGAGCAGTAGTGGGTTCGCGCCTGTGAATAGGCGTTTCACAGCAGACCATCCGATATAGTCAACTCAACTCTTTTTGTTTTCTTTTCTTTCTAATAAATTAGATTCGTTCATAAATTATGTATAACTTCTATCATTGGTGTCCGCTCCTCTGTGGCATACATTAATAACATTTATATTTCCCTAATTAAACTATATGAGGATAAAATGTTCGTAGTTACAATCGTTGCGTATAACAATGTATATAATAACAAAATATTCTCCTTTACTGTTTGACTATTTATCCTTAACGCTTTGACACATATACGTGTAGCAAATCAGTCATCCTCTCCTCACACTTTACTGTGCTTTTCACTTGCCCCACTCAGTCGTCGGCGTGTGTGTGCGTGTGTCTGTGCTACTAGTATTGTTCAATTCGACATTATTATGACCACAGTAGGTTTAAATTGCCGATACCATCAAAATTCTTAATATTACGGTAAATTTTAAATATTACAACCCGAATGTATGAAATTATATAAAAAGCGCAAAATGCGCGCGTTCTGCGGTCTACATCTCATCAATATATTTAGGCATCGTGCTGCCCCTAGATAGCCACATGATATTGCCAGCTAACCCATGTGAATTTACTAGCTGACAAATATTAAAATTTGTGACAAATCATACGATTAAATAGAGAGGGATCCGTCCGTTGCGCGCGTGCGTGCGCCCGCGTATGTGAGCATACGTGTATGCAGTCTCTAATACCCGAATAGTGAATTCTGTTTCGGCCGGGTGTCGTGGCGTGCACCTGTAATCCAGCTACCTGGAGGCGTGAGTTGGTGGACGGCTTGAGGGTGGGAGTACTGCTGTGTAGCGGACTATGTCGATCGGGCGTCCGCACTAAGCTCCGCATCGATATGGTTGTCTTGGGGGAGCCCAGGATAACCAGGTTGTCTAAGGAGGAGTGAATCGGGTCAGGGCGGAAACGCAGCAGCCAAAAGCTCCCGTGTCGAGCAGTAGTGGGTTCGCGCCTGTGAATAGGCGTTTCGTAGCAGCTCATCCGATATAGTCGAACTCAACTCTTTTTGTTTTCTTTTACAATTAGATTCGTTTATAAATTATTATTAACTTCTATCATTGGTGTCCGCTGCTCTGTGGCATAATTAATAACTAATTAATAAAATGTTGCTAGTTACAATCGTTGCGTATAACAATGTATATAATAACAAGAATATTCTCCTTTACTGATTGAATATTTTATCCTTAACCCTTTGACACATATACGCTGTAGCAAATCAGTCATCCCTCTCCTCACACTTTACTGTTCTTTTCACTTGCTCACTCGTGTGCGTGTGGTGTGGCGTGCGTGTGGTGTGCGTATGTTTGTGTGCGTATGTTTGTGCGTATGTGTGTGCGTTTGCGTGTGCGTAAGCGTATGAATGTTTGTATACGTGTGCGCGTGCGTGGCGTGTATGTAGGTATGTATGTATACATGTCCTTTTACGTGCGCGGGGGGGGGGGGTTAAGTCGATCGGGTGCCTGCGTGTATAAGTATGGGCCTGTGAGGGCGTCTGTGTACTAGTATGTCAATCGACATTAATATGACCACAGTAGTTTAAATCGCCGATACCATCAAATTCTTTAATATTACGGTTAAATTTTAAATATTACAACCCGAATGTATGAAATATATAAAAAGCGCAAAACAGCGCGCGTTCCTCGCGGTCTTTACATCTCATCAAATATATTATGGCATCGTGCTGCCCCCTATAGCCACAGATATTGCACTAACGCCATGTGAATTACTAGCTGACAAATAGTTAAAATAGTTTGTGACAAATATACGTTTAAAATAGAGAAGGGGTATTCGAGCATGGATTTTTAAAAATAATCGTTGTCAGCATACCTGTATTTATAAATAGGGCGCGCCTTAGCCTGTAGAATGCAGACCTCCTACTTTATTCCCTACCCGTCGCACCTCTTGCGTCCCTTGCCGCTCGCGCAGCATCCTTCTTTTTCTACAGCCCCTCAGCTATCTCCCGTGGCGCCTTCTCTCAGGCTCCCACCCCTCTCTCCCTCAGCAAGCTATATTACCCAGAATCTTTCACGTATGCGACGGCTTCATTCACGTTTGCTCACGCATGCGAGTGCATGCACGCACGCACGTGCACACGAACATATATATGCGCACGCGTGCCCACATATAAATAAAGCGCGGGGTGAGTATGCTCTATATCTCTCGGCATCTCCGTCCATAACAACGGCGTTTCCGTAAATGCTGCTGTACTTGGGTGAATAGAGTTCGTATGTTAGCTATACAGTGCACTGTACTCACGAGCTATTCTCCTGCTTCCTTCACGGTCTCCCCCACGCCCCACTCTAAATCACTTTTTACTCATCCTCTTCTTTCTTCATTTCTTTCTCGGCTGTTCTCCAAACGCTTTATTCCTTATTTCATCGGCGGCTACGCCTCCAAGTTCTGGTGCACCTTGTTGTTTTAATGATCCGTTTGAGTATTCTATTCATGAGTTTGTAATCAATGTGTTGTTAATGCTATATCTATGGATATAAGGGGCAGCACGATATCATGATATATATTCGGTGAGAACTGAAGACCGCAAGCAACGCCGTATTTGGCGCTGTATATATTTCATACACTCACGTAGTTGTTAATATTTAAAAAAATAACGGTAGTATTACAGAATTTTATGGCATTATCGATTTAAATCACTGTGGCTATATTATTGTCGATTGGTATACGCGTACACAGACGTTCGTATACGCCCATACTCACGCGTGCGCACTCGCACACGTCACCCCATAGCTTCATGCACCCGCGAAACGACATGCACACACGCACACCGCACGCACACGCGCACGCACACTCACACGCAAACCCACACACACGCATAAGCATACGCACACAAAATGCACACGCACACACGCACACACACAAAAAACACGCACGCGCACACGCACACGTACACGATTGAGCAAGTGAAAAGTACAGTTTAGTGAATGACAGATCTACTACGGCGTATATATGTGCCAAAGGTATATATACGCCACGGTGGAAAGTACAGAAGTTAATACTGTTTCATGGATTAATCTAATTATTAGAAACGAAAAAAAACGAAAAAAGTTTAGTTCGACTATATCGGATGAGCTGCTGTGAAACGCCTATTCACAGGCGCGAACCCACTACTGCTCGACACGGGAGCTTTTGGCTGCTGCGTTTCCGCCCTGACCCGATTCACTCCTCCTTAGACAACCTGGTTATCCTGGGCTCCCCCGAGACAACCATATCGATGCGGAGCTTAGTGCGGACGCCCGATCGACATAGTCCGCTACACAGCGGAAAGACGTGCCTTAGTCTTGTTTTCTCAAAATTTTTGCAAATGAGTCGGTGAAGTGGATTTTAATACTC